TTTTCACCGAAGCGGAGAACACACAGGCGAACGCGTAAGGCGATCAGCCCCGAGAAATATTCCCCAAACTCCCCTACTAACAATAAGTACGCACCCAAACAAGGCGTTGGGTTTTTAAAAAATGAGCAGACTACTGTTGTCCCCTTTTTCCTCTCCCTGTCCAGGTCTGTCGGCGCTTTCCTCCGCGCCCTGCCCTCCGCCTCAAAGCCCCAGCACCAGCCCCACGCCCCAACCACGGCGGCGACTCACAGAGTCTCTCGCACCAGCTGATACCCCGCGAGAAGTGGGCCCAAACCCGGGAGCAGAAGAAGAAGCGGCGGAAGCAGATACACGCTCAGGAAACCGAAGCTCACGACTCACTCCGTGGACACATTATGTGAGACACCGACAACTGCTTTGGAGGCCAGAGACAAACTGCTCCAAATCCCGTGACTGTTGCCCCACGGAGGCGGCAGCGTGAAACACCAAACGCACCCGCTGAAACCCCGTTGAAAGTTGCCCCCGCACCGCAAACAGAAGAAGCCATTGGGACCGGCACGTTTGGTTATTAACCAACCCTCATGGACCACAGGCTAACGTTATTTGAACGCTTTGGGCTACCTGGGCCTCCTGCGGACTTTGAGAAACTTAAGCCATAGGTGCCAGAGCCAGGACTACGGTGTTGCGGAGCGCGCAGGAACATGTGTCACGGACTGGCGGCAGCTTTTCCACAGCCCGGCGGAAAGACTGTGTGCTCGACATGTGTCGAAGGACTGTTACCGGAGGAGGCGTTAAAGGCAGAGGACCTCTCAAGCTCACACGGGGCCAGAGGACGGCAGAGGCGGGCGTGGAGGAAACACGAGCGACTGATCAAACCCGGGTTCACATTCGTCACCAAAGCGACCGCTCATGTCACGTAAGTTTGAACAAGAACAAATTGCAATTGGCACTTTTCAGAGATAATTCATGCTGAATTCCCGTAATATACGCTAACAATCTGTGGTGTAAAAGTTAAAATTCTGGATGATTCAGGGACAACAAATCCTGTGTTAAAGACAAAACATAAGGTGACAGATTTTGGTCCTTTCTCAAATGAGTGGTCGCTTCACAAAACTCATGGCTTCAGTGTAGTGAAGATAGGCTAACGGAGTACGTTTATTGGGATAGGCACGACTCCGCGGTATTACCTAACGTGTTTATCGACCCACTGTGCTCCACTTTGCACACAGTTTTGTCCGAACCCACGTCTGCAGCGTGGAGGGAGGTCCCTGCATGTATTAATAAGTGTAGCAGTGCTGGAGGCTGGACACAGGTCCAAGATGGACACTCGTGGTTCTCCAGAAATGCAAACGCATGGAGAAGCCCTTTTTATTTTTTTTATGGTTCTCTGGCCGCAGGAAGAAATGTGTGTTCTGGCCCTGACAGCATCACTTCAGCCCCACGGGGGGCGGGGGTCATGCTGCCAGCGCCGTATGCAGCGACCACGCCGGGGCTGCACACGGTCCCACTGAAGGATTTTGAATAGGCCTGATAAAATTGGAGTGGCTTTTTGGATTTTTGCCACTTGTTTGGGTTGAATGAAACCGTACATTAAGGAGTAACATGCTGGTTTGAATCTTGTGTTTTAGTGCCTTTGACTCTCCACCAAGCTTGCATAAAAGCAAAAAAACAAAAACAAAGAGATAAACCCTAACAAACGGTGTGAAGGGTTACAATTTTATCCCAACGGAGATCTGTTTCATAATCTGATGGACAGATGCCAAAATGCATACCTAAATTCAACATGATCAGAGGGTTGAAACAATTTTTTATTTTCTAAATTGGCTGGCCAAAGCTGATTTTCTAAACTGAATTAAACAAAGAATGAACAATCAACATGGTGAAATCAAAATGGGACTTATTTTTATCACACTCTTGTGGGGCAAATAGCCAATCACAATAGTGCATGACGTTGGTCACTCAGGTCCTTATTGTTTTAATGCTTTTGAATTTACTTTTTACGTAGTTTTGGGGTTGTGGTTTTTGACATTTTGATTTATTTATTTTTCCTTTTTGCACTGCGGTGGTGTCTTATTTTTCTCCACTAGTGGAACGGATGGGTGAAAGACGATCACGCTTTCAAAATAAGAGCGCTCAACAAATTCTGGGCTGAAAGATATGAAAAGATATGAAATTTGATGGCCTGAACAAACATTTTTTTTTTACAATGACTTTCTGACCTGACCTGACAACTTACTGCGCAAGCGTTTTTGTTTGTGTTGATGTCATTGTGTGTCCCAGTTGATCGTTGTGTGTGTGTGTATATTTGATGTGCGTTTCTGGTCATTTATTTACAGGCATATGACCACAAACACGACCCGCAGCGGACACAGGATAACTGTGTCCGCTAGATAAATTCTGGATAGATTCTTGCTTTTCCTTTTTTTCAACAGGCTGAGCAGTGTATTTAATGACAACTAACCACTAACAAACTGACACATAACACACCATTGTTTCATTTGAATAACTTGAAACTAACGAACCGTTGCTGTTTCTTTTGGAGCAGGATTCCACAGGTACAGACCGGCTGCTGGAAGTGTGAGAACATACCAGTGTCGACAATTTTACAACCGAGTCTGTTATGTTGTGTGTTCTGATTTTTATACTGTTTGCCCAAACACCATTCAGCACAAGCTGGTCGCGGTCGCTGGGGCTCGTGAGCAGGCAGCGGGCGAATGCAGACAAGGCAGACAAGGCATACCTGCCTCTGCCCATATGCAGGCACTGGCTACTCCAGACGAGATGGAGCTGTGGGCGAAAAATGGCCTTGGTGGGTTGCTGGGTAAACCTCAAACCGGGTTTGCCACAGCATTTCTTCAGAGACTTTGTGCCTTTAGCACATGGCCGAGACCATGCCTGAAAAGGAGGGATGTGTAACTTAAATTACACACAATTGAGGTTCTGCCAAACCTTTGGCACAGAACCCGGGTAAGTTCCAAATTATTCCTTAGGCTGCCCATGCCCCGCCCCATCGCACCATGCCAAGGTAAGAAATACTGTCTGTTCTGGTTCTGGTGGATCTCTGGTCCAAATGGACTGAAGTATTTGCATGTAAACACGCCACGAGCAACGCGGTGGTGAAAGCTCTGCTCACAGAAATTGTGCCACAATGGGGTGTCCCGGAAAGGAAAAAAAAAAAAAAAAAAAAAAAAAAATAATAATAATATATAATTTCTAGTGACAATGGCAGTCACTTTGTAGCAAAATTATTGAGGAAGTAGGTCACTTTCTGGGCATTGATATAAGGAAACATTGCGAGCGAGAGAATGGCACTCTGAGGTCAAAACCTAAACCCATTCGAAACCCTCTTTGCCAGACCGCCCAACTTGGGAGCGGGACCCCGACCTAGAGATCTGCCATGCACCTTTTGTGTGATGACGACATGCTGTCCTATTGTAAAGAAATGAATGCACTACTGTAATCTATTTCTGCCTAGGTCAGGAGCGCCCTGCCACAGGCGGTGCAGGCGGCTCTGCACGAGATCGAGCCATACGACTGGGTCCTGGTGAAGGAGACAAGACGGAAACATGGATCCCATCCTCATCCTCCTGGTGACGGACACGGCCGCTAAAGATCGCAGAGAGGACAGCTTGGATCCACGCCAACCACTATCGTGCAGCGCTGCCACCGAGGGCCATAGACGAGGACACCGAGGGTCGGGACGGAGCAGGCATATTCACGGCTCCCTAAGCATAAGGGGCCGGCCGGCGTGAGAACTCCGTCACTGGAGCAGGCCCACAACAACAACAACACCCAGAGAATCCCAGCGTTCCCGAGGCGCATCCCCAGGAACAACACGACGTCCCATCTCCCTTGCCCCCGGACCCCAAGGTCACACCCCGAAGTGCCGAGGCCAAAGCCCCAACGCGATTAGGGTCTTGCCGCTCCAAGACCGAACATCGCCATGACCACTAACGCTTCACACACGCTCAGAGGGAGCGGTGCCCCTGAACGCTCGTGAGCATTTCCGCGGAAAAGACTACAGAACCCCCGCGTAGCAGGCTAATACCGGCATGGGCCCGTGGCATATTATGTTGGACACACTGTCCGCACTCTTATCGCTGTCCGGATCCATTGTGTTATTATAATGTGCTCTTTCTTTTATTGACAAACATGTTTCTTTTCATTGTCCACTTTGGACAGCAATAATTTAAGTGTTTCAAGCTTGAAGGTGATGTGATTACGATGCCTCTGGTATTTAACTGATTAATGCAAAAATGGTTTTGAATTATCAAAAGAGGGGAGTGTAATGACAGTTTTTAGAGTAATTAAATTAGAACCAGCCGCAGCAAATACACGGACGACTGGGCCTTTAATCAATGCAGAGACGGCCGTCTGACGCCATGCTGAGTTTGCAAAGGCCTCTGCTGTCTGCTCCTTTCACACCTAAGACAAAGGCCTTCCTGTGTCTTGCGCTAAAACAAAAGGTGATGTTTGCATGATAATCTCAGCCCATGTGACGTCACGGTTTTGGGGCCCTGCTGTGCGCCTCCTGAGTATATGTATTGGTACAGTAGCTGTGCCCCGGCAGAGCTCACGATGCAAGACTGTATGTTGGCTCTCCGCATATATATGTGTAAAATAAATGTGTTTACATCTTTGATTTAAGACAAATACCTTTATGGATAGAAACTGCCACAACAGTCTGCAAACATTTCTGAAGTTACGATTTATCCTCCTGGCATACAATACGAATGTTTGATAGGCCTTCTCTTGTGTATGAATTGATCCAAGGGCATCCAAGACCTTTAAGGAAAATGCTATCAAAGATATACATCCAGGCATAGAACGGACATAGAATGGACAAGTAAGAGCCTCGTAATAATAATAAGAATAATCCATCATTATACATGCATCCAATGAATAAAAGGCCACATAAAAGTACAGTATTTCTTGACTCCTACATTAAAGTACATTCAGACGGCCATGAAAGGCAGCCAGTACAAGAGGATCATGTAACTTAGAGTCAGGGATTTCTGGGATCACTGGAAAAAGAACACTCAACACTGGAATTGATACATTTCACCCACTCAGAAGAACACCCAAAGTGTTAATATTCATGTATTCAGTATGTAGAAAGGATCATGCGAGGTGGAGGACGCTTATGCAGGAAAGACACCAATGAAAGAGAACAGGGACACAGTGAAGGATAATGTATTATTAACAGTATTGTGTCACTGTATTTTCAGAACTGAACAGGGTGGAATACTGGATGCTTTTTGTACCTTAGCAATATGATACATGTGTAGTTAATCAATCAATCAATAATAGTTCAAAATATGTTTTGTGTTTGGAATAATGTTGTGTGTAATCTTATTGTAACGTGGTACAGAAAAGTATTGTCTTTGTCCAAGTTTTAAAATCAACAGAGTCAAGTTTCATGTTCGACTGCACTAAAACTGCCCTTTATGTGCTTCTTCTGAGCGTGTTCAGGTGATTTTTAGAAATAATTTAGCAGGCATTTCTCTCCCAGAGCTGCTGTCTGAGCATGGTAATGTGCTAAAACAGCATTTCCCGCACACACCTGAAAGGCACCACTCAAGTGCATCACAGTACTTGAAAAGAAATAAAATTGTTAGGAGAGAGTGCCTGACAGCTTACCAATATAGTCTGGGATTTAGTGGAAGCAAAACACTGGCAGACGATGCTAAGACTGCACAAATAACCCCCTCAAAAACATGTTTGCTGGAGCCCCAAACAGATGGAGTGGAAAACAAATGTAGATGCTACATTTCCTGGTTGCTAAGCACCACCTGGAGGTAATGGATGTGTTCAGTGTCTAAGAGGCGGGAGAGCGTCTTCAGCCAGAGGACGCTCACGCCAGAAGGAAGAGGCATTTAAATGAAATGTACATTTTGTTCATCTTGGTATCGGCAATTACCTCCACCCTGCATGGTGTAATGTTTTCATTGGGGTTTGTTAGTTAGCTATCACAACATAATTTAAAACTTTTCTAACACATTTATAGTAAAGCTCATAAATGGAATGAGGAACAAATGCTTTGATTCGTGACGCACGCATTTGTAGTTATTATATATTTAGCTTTTAATAATTTTATACGATCTTAATAACCCACAAATACTATTGTAAATGTGGGTTTCAAGATACAAGAAGCAAAACTAATATGAATTTTTTTTTAATGATTTGTTCTCTTTTTTTTTTTTTTTACTTATAATTATAATCTAATAGATCCTTCAACTTAAACAGAAAAAGAACCCAGATAGTAATAATGCCGGAATCGGTTGACTGGTGACTACAACTTATAGAAGAGGAATAAAATGGATGAGTTCCTATGATAGTTCTTTTTGGAGATTGCGAAGTCGAACAGTCTCTAATATCCATTGTTTCCTCAGGTCTACCACCACTCCGCAATTCCTCTGGGTACACTCATACATATGCATTCAGCTGCACATGGGCTTGAGCAGAAATTCAACACTCAATATGACCCATGTGAAGAGGTCAGTGCAGTGGGTGTTGAAGAAAACTAAACAATGGACAGTCTTGTATGATAAAAGGGCTCACATTCGCTTTCTATGTTTAAAGTGACACAAGGGTCAAACTGGGGCAACCCTGAGGCTGATGTCTCGTCTTTTGCATTGAAAAGAAGTGACTCACCACGCAACCAGTGGAGTCCAGTTTGCGATCGGAAATGCAACGGAAGTTCCTGCTGCAGCCTCCGTTATCTTTGGTGCAGTCTCTGACCGGACCAAACGAGTCCAGCAACACCTCCAGGGAGTCGAAGGACGAGCTGATCATCAACTCCTCCCTGCGTGACAGAGACAATAACAGGTAAACTCAAGGTCCAGATTTATACCTGTGTAGGGATGGCATTGGTGATAATGATTATTTTTGTCATAAGAACAAACACCTCATTTTCAAAGAAGAAATACAATATAGCCGACTCCAACGTAGAACCAGCAAAAAAACCAGGCCTGGCTCTTAATGAAGAGTGCACAAAAATAAATAGTGAACAGTAAGCAGCAGGAGTACATTGAAGTGTAACAAGGTTAAACAGACTAAAACAAACATTTTATTTCAATATCATGTGGTCAAAGATCAAGTTAAAGCATTAATTTCAAAGCAATCCCAATAATAGGGATCTGTGAAGCATATAATATTGAGAAGACTGTCCTACTTTTTGACATTTAACATGAACAAATAAGTGTTACTAAGGTCATTATGCGCAGCTGGAAAATGCCATTTCCACCTGTTTTTCCCCCCTTTTACTAGATTACACTTACTCCCACGGCCATTTCAACCGCTTCCTACACAAATAGGTTTTTTTACTATACCAATGAATTGCATCACTTTCAGCCAGATAAAGAGAATGAGTTACATTATATTTTATTCTGTCTCCCATGCACAATTAGCTGTTAATTCCATCTCCTCTAGATCGTTTTTTTAGTCTGCAGGGAAATAATGGAGCCAGCATTGAGCTTGTCTTAGCACATTCATTCATTCAACACCTTACCTGTTTAAGTAAGAAATATCTCTTTTCATGAATTACAAATACTTTCATGTTTAATTCATTAAGTGCAATCCTCATTAAGAAAGCTATGACCGACACAATTTCTATGCTAAGTACTCAACTCCAGAGATAAAACACTCCTAAAATCCAATGCGCTAACCTTGCTCCCAGCTCTTCGCTTACAATTTCGATTTTCTTTTTTCCCCCCAATAATAACTCCCTCCAATCCATTGTGCAAGGTCACCAAAGTAGACGATCCATTGGAAAGACAATAATATATTTAGCCAACTTTTGTTTGCTGCATTTTAATGTAATATGTTTCCAGCGAAGAATCATTGTTTGGCCAATAGAAAATCAAGACCTTTTATAATAGGATTGCCCAAAGCCTTGCATTGCTTTGTAAACAATGGCCTCTAGTACCCTTTTTAACCAAACATTCAACCAGTTTTGTGTTATATATACACAGTATATATAACTTTTCTTCCTATTCTAATGCTGATGCACAACTTTTTTGTGTGTAGAAAAATTGAGTAGTGTTGTCATTATTCAGAGAGAGGCTTTTGATCACAGTCTGAACAGATGACGAAACCCACTGCAAGGGGCAAGAGACAATGCTAATTTGTCTGGCAGAAACAATTACATTCAACACAGGGCCACACAATTTGTAGCTGTTACACACACTGTACCTTAAAAAACAGGTTGGACAAAAATGTTCACAACTGCCATTATAGCTGCAAACAGATTACAGCATTATTACATCTCGAAATGAAAAGAATTTTATGGCAACAATACAGCTTCTTTTCGCCTGCTGCGACGAAACTGTTATCTGACCTACTGGGATTGTTTTACTCAATCAAATAAAAAAATAGGTATGGCATTGTTATCTGTAAGGGTGCAGCCGAGGTGTGATAAATGTGACGTATTGGAAAGTAAATCTATTTTCATGGACAGCTTAAAAGAAATAGTGGTTTCAGTGCACAGAATTGGGTGGCATTTGAAAGCAGAAAAAAAAGATAATGGCAGTGGGCAAGAAAGTGTAATTTATTGTGTTGTGCTTTAACAATGGGAACTAAAATAAACATTAACTGGAGTAACACTGGAGGAAGGCTCAGTAAGGTTGGTTATTGCATAAATATGTATCGGAAACAGGAAATGTTCTTGCTGCAGACAAGTCATAAAAATGTCTATAGTTCCTATTAGGGGTGGGTGACAAAAAAGTAAAATCCAAATGTATTTGTTTGAGCTTGTGGTGACAGTTTTTGGAGTAATTACATTAAAACCAGCCGCAGCAAATACACGGACGTCAAAGGCCTTTTATCAATGCAGACGACCTTCTGACGCCATGCTGAGCTTTGTGAAGGTCCCTGCTGTCTGTCACACCCTTGTGTCTTTCCGTCTTGCATCTGTATGACCTGCATTTCCACCATTGTCTGTCTGTTCACACCCCATGCCACTGCCACCACAGGGGATAGCGCCGGCGCTTCCTGTGCGCCTCCTCACCGGTGGCCCCCTCCGCTCCGTTGTGGGCGTGACTATCTTTGGTGTGTGTCTTGTATACAGGAAGCTCGGGGCTCTGGCCCCCAGAGCTGGGACATGCTGCTTTTGGAGTGTATGTGCTGGCTCTCCGCACTGTGCGTTAACAATAAACTTACGCTTTTGATCAGACAAAGGACCTTTGAGTTTTCTCCTTCATGGGGTATATAATTCTATAACAAGCTCAAAAACAATATCCACATGATGATAGATGAGATGATATATTATTCAGGTTTCCAGTAGCAGCAAAAAGATTACAATTAAGATTAAGAGATCCTTTATTTGTCCCACAGTGGGGAAGATTCAGTGTTGCATCACAAGTTATAGAACAGTGGGAATGAGGTGCATACAGCACAAGATAAGTGAACAATAGCTATACTAACTAAGGCTGAGTTTACACGGAGACAATGTGGCAGTAAAACGGTATAGTTGGATGTCGGTTGCTACCAACCGTTCATACGAAGACTGTGTTCCAGGGGGGTGAAAACGTAAGTGTTTAGATCCAGCCTGCAGAGTGGGACAACTCAGATACGCTGCACAGCAGGGAGCTTTTTCACACCCGCGAGAGGGGAAAAGGTGTGAAATCCCCCTCTGCTCTGACCCTCACCTCCGCGCTGCTCCCCGCACGTAAATTTGGACATGCGCAGTAGCGGAGAACAAACATCAACAACAATGGCGCTGCCCACACAAACTAGCTACGTGGGCTTCCAGCGCGGGACAGAGGATAATTCTACTCCTTCGTTCGTCCAAACGAGACCACGCGAAGCTCTAGGTTCAGTTTCAATTTTCACAGCTGCTGTTAAAAAGCAGATAGATGTTGGTGCGTTCTGAGTGTCTGGCACAGGAAGTGAGTACACTGCCGAGAGGGGGGCTGGGCACAGGGCTGGGGGTCGTGTGAGTGTTGTAAAGTTTCTCTGCCCACTACTGGCCGGGCGCTAAAACTACATCGTTTTTCAACCTCATGTGAACACTAAGAAATTTGCATTAGGAGCCAGGTTGTTTCTGTTAATAGCCTGGAAACGTCTGCGCAGCGTCTCAGTATAAACAGGGCCAAAAATAAAAACAAAATCTCCAACTCTAGCATCAAAGGACAAGTATAAAATCTATATCTTGAACATAATAGAAAAAATAAAGAATACAAAGTTTTACATTTGGCAAAATAAGATGAAAGTTGGACAGAGTGCCAGAGGAACAGCGGATGGAGACCAGCACCGGGCGGATGAATTTAACCAGTACTTCAACCAGTTTGATTCTCCCCCCTCTCCATCTGCCCCCCCTCCCGCCCCCAGTGGACACTGCCTCCGGCTGCCCCGGGCCCCCCGCATCCCCAGCCCCCACCTCGGACAGTACACCCCGGTCCCCCCCCTTCTCCATCACACCGGACCAGGTGAGGAGTCAGCTCCAGCGTCTGAAGCTGAGGAAATCCGCAGGACCGGACGGGATCAGTCCCAGGCTGCTGAGGACCTGTGCAGACCAGCTCTCTGGGGTCCTCTCTGAGGTCCTCAGCTACATGTACAACCTGAGCCTCAGCCTGGAGAAGGTCCCTGTCCTGTGGAAGACCTCCTGTGTGATCCCGGTTCCTAAAACAGCACACGCCAAGGAACCGGCTCACTACAGACCAGTCGCACTGACCTCCCACCTGATGAAGACCATGGAGCGGCTCATCCTCACTCATCTCCGCTCCGTGGACAGCCCCACCCTGGACCCGCTGCAGTTCGCCTACAGACCCAACATCGGAGTAGAGCAGTGTTTTTCAACCACTGTGCCGCGGCACACTAGTGTGCCGTATGATATTGTCTGGTGTGCCGTGAGAAATTCGTCTACTTTGTCTAAAAATAACTGCATTCGCTGTTGACGAGCGGTGACTTGTTTTGAACTGTGGAGTAACCATGTAATACTTTTTCAAATCAGTAGATGGCAGCAGATAGCTAAGTACTTTGAAACTGAAAAATTGGATGCGACCACTGGCTACAGGTCAGCATTTTGGCGAGAAAGGTCAAATTGGATGCGACCAACAAATGTGGGAGGGAGCGAGACAAGAGCTTTGTGGCGAGTGAGAAGTGAAAGTGATAGAGACGTTTTTGAAAATGAATTATGCCGTTTCTGAACAGGATTAACATCCTCCGCTCTGCCCCGGGGTAGCTGTGGCCGCGTTGTAGTGGTTTAACTATGAAATGTACGATTTTTGTACAACAGCTCTCGCGAACGCACTTCTGAACTGGGTACCGAGCGCAGACCGTAGTCGAGTGGACAGAACCACAGACATGCGGACCGGACAGAACCATGGACTCGCGTTCAGGACCTCCCGTGTCCCTCATCCAAAACTCCTGAATTTAAAGCTCGGATACCTAAATGTTTCCCATGCACTAACAATGCATGTTCTTTGTGTGGAGTTATTATTTGACTATTTGGGCAGAGAGTGGATTTTCTTAGTTTTTTTCCACACAGTTAGTGCCACTTTATTCCCAAACTCTTGTTAATTGTATCGAGAAATATTAAATAAAGCTTAATGTCAAGGCCTGGACTTAAGCATTTTGATGAGAATAACTGTATATTGTGAATATAGGCTACAGAGTATACTGTATACATTATAAGATAAGATAAGATATACTTTATATATCACACAGAGTATGTACAGTATATATTTTTACATTAGTACTGTATACATTTTTACATTTTCTCCTGGAGGTGTGCCGCAAGATTTTTTCAGTGAAAAAAGTGTGCCTTGGCTCAAAAAAGGTTGAAAAACACTGGAGTAGAGGACG